TGAAAATCAATCAGAATCCAAATGAAATAACGGCTGATTATGAAAACATACAGAAAGAGAAAGCTAATGTATAACCAGAATTTAACAGAATTGTGGGACCCAATGGTGATGATTACACTCTGGTTAATAAATGTTGAATTTGGAAAATGTGTGAAAACTGTACAGGGATATTATTAATATTATCTGTAGAAACTGTACAGGGATATTATTAATATCATCTGTAGAAACTGTACAGGGATATTATTAACATTATCTGTAGAAACTGTACAGGGATATTATCAATATTATCAGTAGAAACTGTACAGGGATATTATTAATATTATCTGTAGAAACTGTACAGGGATATTATTAATATTATCTGTAGAAACTGTACAGGGATATTATTAATATTATCTGTAGAAACTGTACATGGATATTATTAATATTATCAGTAGAAACTGTACAGGGATATTATTAATATTATCTGTAGAAACAGTACAGTGATATTATTAATATTATCTGTAGAAACTGTACAGGGATATTATTAATATTATCTGTAGAAACTGTACAGGGATATTATTAATATTATCTGTATAAACTGTACAGGGATATTATTAATATTATCTGTAGAAACTGTACAGGGACATCATTAATATCAGCTGTAGAAACTGTACAGGGATATCATTAATATCATCTGTAGAAACTGTACAGGGATATTATTAATATTATCTGTAGAAACTGCACAGGGATATTATTAATATTATCAGTAGAAACAGTACAGGGATATTATTAATATTATCAGTAGAAACTGTACAGGGATATTATTAATATTATCAGTAGAAACTGTACAGGGATATTATTAATATTATCAGTAGAAACTGTACAGGGATATTATTAATATTATCTGTAGAAACAGTACAGGGATATTATTAATATTATCTGTAGAAACTGTACAGGGATATTATTAATATTATCAGTAGAAACTGTACAGGGATATTATTAATATCATCTGTAGAAACTGTACATGGATATTATTAATATTATCTGTAGAAACTGTACAGGGATATTATTAATATTATCAGTAGAAACTGTACAGGGATATTATTAATATTATCTGTAGAAACTGTACAGGGATATTATTAATATTATCAGTAGAAACTGTACAGGGATATTATTAATATTATCTGTAGAAACTGTACAGGGATATTATTAATATTATCAGTAGAAACTGTACAGGGATATTATTAATATTATCTGTAGAAACTGTACAGGGATATTATTAATATTATCTGTAGAAACTGTACATGGATATTATTAACATTATCTGTAGAAACTGTACATACGTCTGGGTGATGTGAGTTGAATTTCACCTATGATTATGAAGGACGTACCAAGATGATATAAAATCTAACATGTCATTACTGTTTTCTGATTTAGAGAATGTTCCGAATTTATGTTTAAAAAGTAATGAAAAGACCTAATTTTTACCCTAATTGAAATGTGCTGAGTAATTTTTCTATTGATACGTTAGTTAAATATTCATTGTTTCAAAAACAGTTTGATAAAGTGGACACGCTTCTTTTGAATTTCATTATCGTACAAATATCAAACACAATAATCTTATACTATTATCATTATTATTATCCATTTAGTAATTGGATGATTAATAACTGGACCCAAATTTATAGATAGCAATTACCTTTATATTCTACTTTGTTTGGAATTGTTATCCAAATAATTGTGTCCTGTATATTGTAAAAATTATTAACATGATTATTTTTTAATTACTATTATTATTGTTATTCATACATATTCACAGTAAAAATATCCTGTACCGACATTAATTTGTGTTATCGTGCTGTATTATATACATGTATATTATATTCACTGTAGAATAGTTCTCAGCAGAGATTTACAATTTTGAGGTTGTTTGCACACAATTGTTATGCCTACAAATGTCTAGTATACGTTACCTATACACAACAATATAATCATATTGAAATAAGGCAATATTATTTGCAGATAGATCTCAAGATTTCAAGTGTTTTTTTTTGTATTTGTTTTTATTTTATTCATGTTAAATGTTTTAAAAGGCAAACATGTGAAACAACATCAATATCATCATGACAAATATATATTCTGTTTTTCTCTGTGCATTATTAATATAATGTAATTCATCATCTACCTTTCGTTGAAGTTTGAAATGTTTATAATTTTATTTATTTATTCGTTATATGATGCCTTTATTGGTCGTATTTGATACAATAAACTTATCTATCTATCTGTCTATCTATCTATCTAGCTATGCTTATATTAGTAGTTAGTGGAACGTCTGTTTAATTCAATTTTAATCATAACACAGCATAGCTGGATAATCATGTGTGAAAAGTGAAATTGAAACTTTATTATACTAATTATATCTGTATAATTCTGTTTACACTTATACATCTTAAAGGTGACAAAAAATATCACTTAAAACTAGTTGTGTGTTTTAACTCCTTGATAGTGAAGGACCAGAATAGAGCAGAAAAAACTCGTACAACATGATATTACCTGTCATCTCTGTTCTCCCCCTATACCCAGTTAACAAACGTGCTCTGGTGTTTATACACCGCCAAAATAATGATATTCTTTTCTTCATGCTTGAATTATCGTATAAATATATTGTTATTGTTAAGTTGGGTACA